TACACTGGCTAGATCAGCTGCCTGCAGCTAGGGTTTTTTTGTCACTATATACAAATATTTTATGCAGTTGGGGTTTGCTCCATTGAAATATTGTCTTGAATTTTTATGTATCTCTCACTATGCTTGAAAATGAATTCAGTTCAATGTTAAAAAAGGCACTTTGCATCAGTATTCCTCTCCAAGAGATTCTTCATATATATACAAACCTGCACTAGTAATTTTCTGCTACTAAGCAAGCTGCACGTGATGGAAGAGTAGACCACAGAATGAAAATAAGTGTCAGAAAACTGCATTAAGAACACTGCGCAATGAAACATTTTCACTGACTTTTATGCACAGCTGCAGTTAAGTAGCCATTTCTGAAAAAAACCAAACCCCACCTACTTCCTGCTGGTGTTGTAACATACATAGGTCAGACAATTACAATGCAGATGCTTTCCCAATCTTTCTGTTAGTATGATTCAACTTTGGGGGGGGACTGTTTTCAAATATCCCCTGTATTCATCTGTAAAAATACTGCAGTGTGCCACAAGAATGTCTTGAAGCACTTTCAGCAACATGCTAGATTTGCCTATGTTGAGATGGCTGTTCTCTAATAGAGCAGCAGTTTAAAAGATATTTCCATCTGGGCTAGATTCCATCACTCGTCCTCATGCTGAGCATACTTTATTCAAGAATTAGTTCCACTGACTGCAACTCAACATGAATAAGAGCAATGGAATCCATCCCTCTCACTGCTAAAATACAGCTCACCAAGTATGAACAGAGCAAAGCTACTAACTAGTGCCATGTAAAACCAAATACTACTGGTAATGTTTGACCTACTTCTACAAGTCTTCTCCTTTAAGAGTTGGTGACCTGAAATGTAGGTGCAGCCTCCTCCACAGTTTCCAGCACGTAAGACTGTCTTTTACCTTGCCTGAATTCCAACATAACAAAGAGCCCAACATTTAAATTTTTCAAAGCAAGACTTACTTGCCTCTTCTTTTTCCCTGAAATGCTGCCATGTCTGTTTCTCAGAGACAATCCTCATGCCCATCTTTGTAGCCAAACGTATCCACACATTCTCAGATTTTAGGTCTTTTTCTCTTCCTTTTCCAAAACACATTCTGGGCCCTCCACCTGAAGAGACAAACTCTGTTAATTTTAGATAAACTCACAATCAGCTATTTTCCCACTCTCCATCCTCTGAAAAACAAAAGAGAAATCAATCAGTTACTGTAGATAATAAGCTCTTCTTGCCCACATGCTGCTTCTGCTGAGAGGGCACATATGCTTATGAATATGATCTCAAAGTTTGTTAACAATACCTGTCTACCGTATATAGGATGAGTCTGTCTATGCTTCTCAGCATAGGAAGTACAATCTGCCTCTGCCTTCCCAGCTTCCTTTTCAATCACACTCTGAAAAAAAAAGGAGAGGAAAGATGAATGTGGAACAAGTATAAGGGGCAACAACACTTAAGAGAAACTTTACAAATTCTCTTTATCTGCTGAATGCTTGTTCATACACACGCTCCTGTACCTGTACTTCTAAAGCAATGCCCAAACCATCCAAACACATAATCTGGGACAGATCAGAATGGCTATAGCAGCACCAATACCCTAAATACAGCATCCAAACTGAAAGCTCTGGGGAGACCTAACCGGTACTGAAATTATGAGTTACAGCCACAGAGCTTCTAAACAGGTATTAACAATAGCATACTTCTAAATGCTTGCCATAAGCACTACCTATGGTTGCACAGAAAGGGCCCTTGCTGCTGCCTACTCTCAAGAGTGACGAATTCACTTAAGGTCTCTAGGTGGAGATCATGCTGTCCTTCATCCTTTCCACTATGGCCACACAAAACTGAGAAGACCACCTCAGGATTTGTTCTTTGCAAGGAATTTTTTTCGGGCCCCACCATACAAGGCAACATCTTTCTGGACAAACCCATCTTTGGGAATAACACTGGAAAGTGAATGTTAGTTCTGGTGGCAGCAGCAGGGAAGGAGGCCTCAAGGACACCTTCACTGGAAGATTAGTCCGAGCAGAGTTCACTACCTGGTTATGGCCTTCTCCTGAATTTTTCACTTAGGTCAATTCATGCACTTAAGCACACTCATGGGCAATTACTGGCAGTCTCCTTGTATTGCTTGTCCAAGTCCCACCATTTTGTCACCACTTTGCCCAAGGTAACCACTATGCGTGCAAGTCCCAGGGTGCCTTTTCCAATATACCCAGAAACACACAGTGGCAGAATATGCTATAACACTGGCTAAATATTAGGTAAAATTGCCTTTTCTGCAAATGAAATCAATGCTCTGGAGAGTTTAAGTGTCTCAAGTGGGTCATGCAGCCAGCACCAAGCCTTGATATCCCAATTTACATGTTCAGGTGTTACAGCATACAACTATTTCTCATTTATGCTTATTATGCATTATTGTATACCTAGGACTATTTTGAATACAGATTATTTTTACTTTTTAAACTGTTCAATAAAGATTTTTTTAAAAATAGATCTGTTCATTCCTTCTGGATCAAAGAACCTCTGTAATAACAGTGAAGTGTTTCCACAAGTTTGCTACTCTGCTTCTCAGAAACAGCTGGGAGATACACTTCTAAATGCGTAAGGGTGGTCAATAGCTGATCTCCTTGGGACATATCGCTTTTCAGCACTGGATACAGTGAAAGAACAAACTTGTACCGAGTCCAAAACAAATACTTTTTTCTTTAAATAAAAATTTTATCTTTTGGGGATAATGACAGAATGTGACTAACAGTTCTTATCTTTGTCTGTACTCAAAGACATTTAAGTAGAAAATGGGCGCTGAAGATTAGGAATTTTTGCAAAACCCAAACCATGTAACAAAAGAGCCACCACTGTGATAGCCCCTCTGAAAAGTCATAGGCGCAGGGACTGTGGACTAGATCATTAATGGATGTTTTTTACCTTTTCAGATTCTCTCAGTTAGCCCTCTGCCCCACTAAGACAAATCTTTGGCATTGATTTTGAATGAGTTGAAATGTCACCAACATTTGTAACTGCAGAATGGAGATAAATTTTAGCTCATGGTACCTTAAAAATACCCATAACTATTTTAATCATGAAGTCAATGAAATCACACAGTTGAATTGCTGAAGTGCTTCCATGTCGGAAAAAGAACCGAATTTCTCATCTCAAATGATATTCCAAAAGGAGAGTAAAAACCCTAGCACCCTTGAGAGATGTTACCAAAAACCATCCCATTTCCCCAACGTCCAAACTCTGTCACTGCTAGTTACCCGAAACAACAAATTCGTATTGCACAAGCAATCAAATTGTGGTGCTACTACATGTGCACCAAAATGCTGCTTCACAAGGTGAAGTCAGTCTCTTCAAAGGCTGCAGAATAAAGGTAAGCAGAGGCTAGAGTTGAAAGAGGAACGTGAAATGCAAATTTATACATCATAGCTCATGTGAAAAGAGTCATTTGCTAAAGTGATAGCTGAACGTAACTCAGGCCTCAGCTCTCCTCTGGTGCGTCATTACTAAACCATTACCGCATTGCTTTATTGGAGGAATCAAATACTTGCTGTGATAAATATGGCTGCAGCTTGCTCAAGCACTAGCTGGGGGTCTCACAGCCACTCCAGACCTCACCGTCCCACACAACTTCTTTTCCCTCTGAGGTCAAATAGTTTCAATAAGTGCGCCTGGGTTTTACTGAACATTTTCCATCCTTGGTACAGATGTCTAAACCATACCTGGGTCAAACGTGGGCAGGGACACCTGATTCCTGAGAAAAAGGCTAAAACACTTTAACGGGCCGCAGACATCCATTTTTTTCTGCTGGGCAAATTTTTTCCACAGGTGAGAGCAGGGAGCGTTTGCTCCAGAGCACGGGCTCTCCTGTATGGGCCCGCTCCCTCCCTGCCCCGCAGCCCCGGCGGCCCCTCGCCCTCCTGCGGGAGTCGCGCTCCTCATGCCCTCCCCCAGCCCGCAGCCCCGCTCACGGCGCGGAGGTGACGGAGGGAATCCCCCGCCCAG